GATCCTGGGAACCCAGCCCTCAGGCACAGCTGCCCCAGACTGCGGCTCGGCCACAAAGCTTGGGGTCCCGGCTCCCACCATTTAGATCTGACCCCAGTTCTGGCCTTCTCCGTGTTTGAGACCCTCAGAGAGCTACTTCAACTCCATCCACCAGGTTTTCCCATGGCGAAATGGAGCTAACCGAGCCTCGCCCACTCTACAGTCTTCTCACTACCGATACCCGACGAGCACGACTTCGGGAACAGGTCAGTCTCTCCACAGAGACGCAATAGCCCTGAATAACATGGAGACAAACGGAGCCCAGCGTGACGTAGAAAGGGTGACTCATCCAGCAAGGCTTACCCAACGACGGTTTATTGATTAACTAACTAGAGGCTTATTAGAGTAGTCCGAGAACGGTTCAATACGAAATCGTTTAATCCAATTCATTACTCCATAAAGATAACATGATGAGTGAGATAATATAATGGGTAAGAGTCATTGTATTAATAGAGATGCAGAAGAGGGAGAGATAATGAGTAAGTGCGACGCATCTATTGAGGAGTGAAAATAAATCCCCTCTTCTGATTTTCTTGCCTTAGATGCATGCACTCACCGGGGAGAAAGACAGACAGAGCGAGGCGGAGTGAGGAATCGCTCCCCCGGGGGGTGGGGGCGCACAGCAGTCTCTTTTCCAGGGCGCCCAGCGACGCAACCACTATGCCACCTGCTGCCCCCAGCCTGAGTTTTCTTTAAAAACTATATTTATTAGCATGGCAAAGAACATATCTAAGACCAAGAGACAGCATCTCACACAGGAAAATAACCAATGTTCAGTCATCAAATTGGCCAAGAAAAGAAACCAACGTGTCACGAACATACGTGAATAGAGGCCCGTAAATTGCAAGGAAAATGTAATTTGGGGGAATTTAAAAAGTAGCTTGATGAGGTAGAATATGATTCAGCCTTTTTAGGGTCTCAAGCATCTTCTCAATAGCGCGCAGAACTGGCACACAGAGGCAACTAACGACATTGACAGAAGGCCGTGGGGATTTAAGACAGGAACTAAACCCGCAGCGAGGCCTGCACCAACTGAGTGCAGATCCCCGCAGCGAGGCCTGCACCAACTGAGTGCAGATCCCCGCAGCGAGGCCTGCACCAACTGAGTGCAGATCCCCACAGCGAGGCCTGCACCACACTGAGTGCAGATCCCCGCAGCGAGGCCTGCACCAACTGAGTGCAGATCCCCGCAGCGAGGCCTGCACCACACTGAGTGCAGATCCCCGCTTTCCCTGTCGTGTCAAAGTGTGAGTGTGCTGAGGAAATGCCTTTCCCAGCCTCAAATATAAGATTATAACACGTCAGAGTAACACGAAGGGGGCACAGACCGCTTGGTTACGGCGCTGGACTCCCACATGACTGACCGTGATTCGAGTCCCAGACCTGGTGGTTTGAAAAGCATAGCAGGTGTGTGTGCGCGCGCGCCCAAATCCCCAGGAGGAGAATGGAAGAGGAGGGATTGCAGCACGGCCATCCCTGCCGGGAGTGATCTCTCCCTTTCCCTCTCTGTGTCTCTCTCCGGTGAGCTATGAGCACTATGGCAAAAATCTAAAAAAATAAAAAATAAAAAGGAATGACACTTGAGCTAACATAATGTAAGATTAACGTAAGAAGGAACTTTCTTATGGCCTTGTCAGAAGATCAGCCACTCTTTTTTTTTCCAGAGAGAGAAAGGGAGAAATCACCCCCAGAGTGGGTAACCACACCACGGTCCCTTCTCCTCCATTCTCCTCCCGGGATTTCAGGCACGCACACACACACACACACACACACACACCTCGCATGATTTTCAAGCCACCGGGTCCAGGATTTGAACCACACAGTCAGCCATGTGGGAGCCAGGGCCTTCACCTCCACGCAGCCTGCTGGCCCATAAATAGCCACACCGTCGTCCACCCAAAGTGTACAGATACCGTGAACAGACTCTCTAGTAACTTGGGCAGGGAGAGACGCGCGCACACCAGCAACGCAGAGACGGAACGGTCCCGCTTGTTCCACACGGTGCAGCCTTGGCCGCGGTCTGCGAGCTCTCAGGAAGGCTTCTCCCTTCCCCCTTTCTCTCCCATCATCTAAACTCCTCTAGAGCAAAGGGAAATACAGACTTCTCCTTCTACAGCAGCGGGCTGTGCCCGTCAGGGCGCGTGGGCCGGAGCTCTGGCAGCACAGCGTGGGGTGGCGGCTGAGTGAGCCAGGCTGTTTGCCCACGGCCCCCCATTGCTCATGCTGCTGCGTGCAACCCTCTGTCGGATCACCTGGGCCCTGGGTCCCGGGTAGCACGAACCTGCTGCTCTAGTCTCCCTGTACATTGCACTGTGGTAGTGGGGTGGGGTGTATGCAGGGGACCCCGCACAGATCCCAGGACACCCTGTGTACACCAGGGTCCCAGATCCTGGCTGCTGGCAGGTGGGAGAGCAGGGGAGACGCTGCCTGGCAAGACCCTTCCGAAGGCCTCCTCTCGCTCTCTTTCAGTAAATAAATAAACTTTAAAAAAAAAAGATAAATGATACAGTCTTTTTGGCATTCATGGAATATGCATTGATGGAATATAGCAAGAAAATAAATAAAAAGATTTTTAAGAAAACATAGAAAAGGAGTGCAAAACTGTTCTTTTCTGGATATGAAGTGATCATCTAAACATTGAGATGAAACAACTGAAA